CTGTCAAGGAGACCACATAGACCCATCTGGCATGGAGACCACATAGACCCAGCAGTCAAAGAGACCACATAGACCGAGCTGTCAAGGAGAACACATAGACCTAGCTGTCATGGAGACCACATAGACCCAGCAGTCAAGGAGACCACATAGACCCAGATGTCAAGAAGACCACATAGACGTAGCTGTCAGGGAGACCACATAGACCCAGCTGTCATGGAGACCACATAGACCCAGCTGTCATGGAGACCACATAGACCCAGCTGTCAAGGAGAACACATAGACCCAGCTGTCAGGGAGACCACATAGACCCAGCTGTCAGGGAGACCACATAGACCCAGCTGTCATGGAGACCTAATAGACCCAGATGTCAAACACATCTACAGATAAAGACTGTTTCCAGAACCACTCATCTTGTACAAATCTCTCCAATAAAGATGGAGAGCCTCACTAATGAGATCAAGTTGTCAGTGCAGCAAGATTAACCTAGAGGCCCAACTTGGTGGCGACTCTACCACTGTGTTGCATCCAGGGGCAAGATGTGATACCCTGCCGGACACAACATAAGCTTCTCAAGGAAATATTGCACCAATTTAGTGGCAATAACGTTTCAGCTTGAGTGTCTCCTTTATCATAGAGTCTATTGATTTCTGCATCCACTGGGGTCAACTGACCTGTAGGTATCTGTCCTTGTAGCCTCTCCATCAACCTACATCATCAGCTCAACAAGGACGGGGCTTGCAGGAAATGGATAACATCAATGGTCATCAAATGGAAATAGAAGTACTTTGCTTTGGCAGATACCTAATCTGATTACCAGTATCTATTTGACCACATCACAATCACATTCTGATACAGTAAGTCCAGGCTTTCAAACAATTGCATTCTCCTGGCATAGAAATTGAGAATGGACACAAATAATATGTACTTGACCAATGGGACACAAACCTACGCCTTTTTTAATAATTAAAACAAGTTCTCTTGTGGCATTTCTATTCTATAAAAATACAATTTAAGCATTATCTCAATCTCTGGCGCAAACGGTATCTTAATTAATGGTTCCCACATTATATCGATTGTCTGCTCTCACATTATCTCAATCACTGGCTCTCTCATTATATCAATCATTGGCTCTCTCATTATATCAATCATTGGCTCTCTCATTATCTCAATCACTGGCTCTCTCATTATATCAATCATTGGCTCTCTCATTATCTCAATCATTGGCTCTCACATTATATCAATCATTGGCTCTCTCATTATCTCAATCATTGGCTCTCACATTATATCAATCACTAGCTCTCACATTATCTCAATCATTGGCTCTCACATTTTCTCAATCATTGGCTCTCACATTATATCAATCACTCGCTCTCACATTATCTCAATCATTGGCTCTCACATTATCTCAATCACTGGCTCTCACATTATCTCAATCACTGGCTCTCACAATATCTCAATCACTGGCTCTCACATTATCTCAATCATTGGCTCTCTCATTATATCAATCACTCGCTCTCACATTATCTCAATCATTGGCTCTCTCATTATCTCAATCACTGGCTCTCTCATTATATCAATCATTGGCTCTCTCATTATCTCGGTCATTGGCTCTCACATTATATCAATCACTAGCTCTCACATTATCTCAGTCATTGGCTCTCACATTTTCTCAATCATTGGCTCTCACATTATATCAATCACTCGCTCTCACATTATCTCAATCATTGGCTCTCACATTATATCAATCACTGGCTCTCACATTATATCAATCATTGGCTCTCACATCTCAATCATTAGCTCTCACATTATCTCTGTCATTGGCTCTCACATTATCTCAATAACTGGCTCTCTCATTATCTCAATCATTGGCTCTCACATTATATCAATCACTGGCTCTCACATTATATCAATCATTGGCTCTCACATCTCAATCATTAGCTCTCACATTATCTCTGTCATTGGCTCTCACATTATCTCAATAACTGGCTCTCTCATTATCTCAATCATTGGCTCTCACATTATATCAATCACTGGCTCTCACATTATATCAATCATTGGCTCTCACATCTCAATCATTAGCTCTCACATTATCTCTGTCATTGGCTCTCACATTATCTCAATAACTGGCTCTCTCATTATCTCAATCATTGGCTCTCACATTATATCAATCACTCGCTCTCACATTATCTCAATCATTGGCTCTCACATTATATCAATCACTGGCTCTCACATTATATCAATCATTGGCTCTCACATTATCTCAATAACTGGCTCTCACATTTTCTCAATCATTGGCTCTCACATTATATCAATCATTGGCTCTCACATCTCAATCATTAGCTCTTACATTATCTCTGTCATTGGCTCTCACATGATCTCAATCATTGGCTCTCACATTATCTCAATCATTGGCTCTCACATTATCTCAATCGTTCCCACTTCCCATCCCTCCATCGTTCACTCTCTCATGAATTACTGCAATCCCTCACCTTTGCCGTCTTTCATTCACTCTTCCCATCACTCTCTCATTCCTTAATTCACGGGAAAATGTAGTGTGTTCAATGGAAGCCTTCCAACATAAGTGCTCCACTCTAGCCAGAACTCCTATACATTAACATGATTAAGGTGAAGAGACATAGTAATTCTTCCAAGCAAGGTCCTTAGCTCCCAGTCTCTCTAAGACTTCCTTATAAAGACACTGAAGGGCCACCTTTAATGCAAGTCCTTCATTTCCAAACCAATTGGCGCCAATGTGTACAGTGGAGATATTCTCCACAAAACCAATTTCATCATAAAAATTTAAGTCAGATCATGTGCTTATTGATTCAAAGGGAAAAGAAGAGGTTAACTTTGAACAGTTTCTGTTAAAGCACAGCACGACATCAATCTACAATGTAGTATTTGCCCACAATACACTCGTCATAAACCAGAAATAGAACACACCATGTAAATACCGTGCCAATACATATTGAAATGGTATGGTAATTATAATTCATATTTCCCAGGCCACTTCATGCTCACCAACAATCATAGTTTAAGCAGCTGTTCATGTCAATGTCTGCATAACAAACAGATTTTAATAGGACTGAAAACTGATGGAGTTTCAGAGGTTAAGTAAATACATAAGAACCATCTCTTCAGTCAAGATCTAACTGATCTCTGCAAAGACTCAGAACATGTCTCAAGGAAATTCACCTTGTTTCCATACATCCATCTCAAATAGCAGCATCTGTTAACCCGTTCCAAGTTATGTCTAACTGTCATGTCAGCCTGACTTGGCAAGGGAAGAAATGGCTGATTCTTTGATGTTTTCCTCTAAATTTCCTGTTTCCGTTTACTTCAATGGAATAATTGTTTAAAAGCTGACCCTTGATGGGAAGCCATATAAACTGATTATTGGAATTCTAATTATTTTCTTTGCTCTTGGTTACAGTGACGTTTCCCTGTTGTGGTGTGGTGGCAGCAAACTATCCTGCCTTGTCTACCATTGTCATGAGAGAGGTGCAACTGTTATAAGTCTTTGTTAAAGGCAGGGTCAGACTTGGCTGTGTGGGGTGAGTGAGTGTGTTGGGATTCAACACAATAATCAACATTATTTACTTTAATTTCGTTATTCATTTTAAATTTTCTCCGCACAATTCATTTATCTTACTTTTCTTACACTTTACACTTTTCTCTCAATCATTCACTCTTACATTCTCTTTCATTCACTATTACATTCTCTAAATCATTTATTCTTACATTCTCTCCTTCATTCACTCTTACATTCTCTCAATCATTCACTTACATTCTCTCAATCATTCACTCACATTCTCTCAAGCATTCACTCTCACATTCAATCATTTATTCTTACATTCAATCATTCACTCTTACATTCTCTCAATCATTCACTCTCACATTCTCCCAATCACTCACTCCTACATTCTCTCAATCACTCACTCCTACATTCTCTCAATCATTCACTCCTACATTCTCTCAATCATTCACTCCTACATTCTATCAATAATTCAGTTCCATTACTCATTCACTCTTCCTCTCCTCAATCATTTCACTTATCTAGTCCTTCCTTTTTCTTCCCTCACTTTTCCATTCTTAATTTATACACTACTCTCTTCTCTCAATCATTCCCTATTTACCAAACTATGAGTGATGTCCCTTGTACCTCCAACATCACTGCATGGAGCGAGTTGGGTTAAAAGTACAAGTTTCAGTCATTTCACAGGGTTGAGGAGACCCAGCAGTGATGCCGGTCGTAGAATGTTCACCACTTTGGTCATTCCTTACATTCACAAATTCATCGCCTGGGATAACACTTTGAAACAGAGCTGTTATCCTTCTGATAATCAATCAATCTAACAACCCAGGAGACCGACCTCAAGTGGCACAAAGGTCGTTTATTACCAGATCATTTTATAAGTCACTGTTTCCTTCTGCTGTAACAACGTCATGTACATATTGGAAAACAAATATTATATGTAAACCTAACTTTAATTGTTAAGGGGTTTCTCGTCCAAGGTTCATACAGATATGGAACACTAAAATTCAAGGCCTTTTCTAGGCTTTTTAGGTGGGTTATTAGCCTCAGTCTGTCATTATTATTTTTATAAATCCAGCATATTACATAACTTCTTTCAGAGGCATTTAGAAGTTGGTGTGATGAAGAAAAACACCTAACACCTTTTCATCACTTGCTTGATAAAGGTGTTAGTATCTACACCGAAACGTCGCACTAATTGTAATAAAGAAGTTGTTCATCCATAGAACTTGTCTTTCTTCAGCATATTACATAGTAGTCATAAGACCTAAAAAGCAGCATGTACATCACAAATTTTCAACAAGATTGATTTTCACAAACAATAAATATAGTAAATTAATTCTGTCATCAGTACTTCAAGGGTACAGGACACACAATCAACCAGGTCACTGAGCCTGCAACTTTATCTAATTTTGTGGCCTTTTATGACAAGCCATAATGAGACAGTATCTGTGTGTGAACATACCTGTAACGAGGCGTGGAAGGCGCGGGACATCAGCTTCACCTCCACCGACTCCACATGGACAAATATCCCGTCTATCACCCGGTCCACAAACCCGTACTTCCCGCCCGACCTGCACAAACACATCCGAGATTCACACCTAGCTGGGCTACATGACCAGTATACATGACCAGTATATACATGACCAGTATATACATTTGTTTTGTTTGTTGTTTAACGCTGCACTCAGCAATATTCTAGCTATATGACGGCAGTCTGTAAATAATCAAGTCTGGACCAGAAAAGCCAGTGATTGATACCATGAGCATTGAACCACGCAATTGGGACACGATGACATGTATCAATTAAGTCATTGAGTCTGACCACCTGATCCCGTTAGTCGCCTTTTACGACAAGAATAGTCGCCTGTTGTTTGTTTGTTTGTTGTTTAACATCGCACTCAGCAATATTCAAGCTATATGACAGCGTTTTGTAAATAATCAAGTCTGGACCAGACAATCCAGTAATTGACATCATGAGCATCGACCCACATAATTGGGATACGATGACATGCATCATCTAAGCCAGCGATTCCGTTTGTTACCTTTTACAACAAGAATAGCTGCCTTTTACGGCAAGCATCGGTTGCTGAAGACCTATTCTACACCGGATCTTCACGGGTCTAGTCGCCTGTTACTGTTACTCTAACAACAATGAACATAACTATCCACATGACTCTTAGCCAGTGCTAGAAACTAACAGTTTTAGTCCACTAGTCCTTATAATGATAAAATAAACCTAAACCCTTCAAAAGGACAAAATAGAACTTGTCCTTATTTGGCAGTTTGGGCAGAGACTATAGCACTAGTGCCAATTTCTAAAGCTGTTAGCATGCTGGACTACATATAAAGTCAGCTTTGATGAACATGTTAAGAATCCAATCCATATACAACTCATGATAACAATCTGGATAGTGGGAATTATCCGTCAATCGTTATGTTGATCGGTGCACGATGAGCACGACAACTCACCTATAGCTGGCCAGGTGGGCGGGGTTATTGGGTGGGCGTGGCGTCTCACATGTCTCTGCCTCCAACTGCACCTTATCCAGCATCTGAAGCAAAGTGAGTGAGTGAGTAGTACATCAACAGTGAGTGAGTGAGTGAGTGAGTGAGTGAGTGAGTGAGTGAGTGAGTGAGTGAGTGAGTGAGTGAGTGCGTGAGTGAATGGGTGGGTGGGTGAGTGGGTGGGTGGGTGGGTTTGTGGGTGGTTGTCTGAGTGAGTGAGTGAGTGAGTGAGTGAGTGAGTGGTCGGGTGAGTGGGTTCTGTGTGAGTGAGTGAGTGAGTGAGTGAGTTGGGTTTAACATCACTTTTAATAGTATCATGGTGTGTCAGCAAAATTCAAACCAACAACAAGACCCTGAGAACAGGTTTCCAGTCTTTATGTCACAAAGCATTAGCATTAGGATGAGGGGTGAAACGATACATTGCTGCACCGGTGCATCCTAAGTTGTCATGCAACGATACAATACACAATACGTTTTCTCCTGTATCGATACAAGACTTGCTAAAATATATTACTTACTACTCGTTTAATGACCCCTAGGAATTTTGTCAGTCAAATATCACAAAATGTGTTGTAATTAGCATTCCATGTTCACTACAAAAAACAGCACCTACAAACGTGTCTACAGCTGGCTTTTCCTTTAGAACATACTCCAAAATATTTATAGTCAAGAAGTATCCACGCAATTTGACGTAAATATGTGCATCACGTGTGTATCGTAACGTTACCTATGTATCATGATATGTATCGTACCGTGACCTTGCCCTAAGTGGGACGATAAACTGATGCATCGGTACATCACAATTTTTATTTTTTTTCCTTCTCGATACAAGTACCGATTACAATCGCACACTAAGTAAAACGTATTGATTTTTACCTTAAATGTAATCTTTAATAAATGTTACACCAAACACTATTTACTTGTGAAAATCAGTAGTGAAAACGTAAATATTTTCAACCATTGCACCGTACTTGACACTGCTAACTGAAAATCGTTAGTGTGCCAGGAACTTAGCCATCGACGTGAAAAAGATAGCTTAGGCACCACATATAAGAGCACATACAAGTATCGTGATATGTATCAGATCATGAGCAAGGTATCGTGGTACATATTGGATCACACAGTTGGTGTACCATCCCAGCCTACAAACATATATAATGCTGTGATGGTGGGTAAAACAGGATCACCAAGATCAGTGAGGACAGCTGTCACACACGGTCTGTTGATCTCCAGAAAGTAACTGGCGACACAGCTGGCTACACTTGCCTGCAGTCCGGTAAGCCCACAGTTTGTGACAAATCACTGGAGACCCTTCATTAAAAAGATGAAAACATTTGGAAAATGTCCGTCAAAATCCAGTTGACGGTACACAATGTTTTGCAAATCCTGCAGTCAACCTAAGTCTGCATGTTGAAATCCATGTATTTTGTGAACTGGATGTGTAGTTCTCCACGAGATTTTGATGAGACTATGCATCAACTCGTCCAGATAAATTGGAATTCCAGCAAAGTTCGGCAAGGGTGGGAACTGGATTTCTATAGTCAGTGAAACCTAAATAGTCTGGACCTTGTTAATCTGACCAAATACCACCTGGATTCTGGGCATGATTAAATACTACCTGGATTCTTGTTATAGCCAAATAATACCTGGATTCTTGTTATAGCCAAATATTACCTGGTTTCTTGCCATAGCTTAATATTATCTGGATTCTTGTTATAGCCAAATATTACCTGGATTCTTGTCATTGCTTAATATTACCTGGATTCTTGTCATTGCTTAATATTACCTGGATTCTTGTCATTGCTTAATATTATCTGGATTCTTGTTATAGCTTAATATTACCTGGATTCTTGATATGGCCAAATTATACCTGGATTCTTGTCATTACTTAATATTACCTGGATTCTTGTTATAGCCAAATATTATCTGTATTCCTGTTATAGCCAAATATTACCTGGATTCTTGTCATTGCTTAATATTACCAGGATTCTTGTCATTTAGCCAAATAATATCTGGATTCTTGTTATAGCCAAATATTACCTGGATTCTTGTTATTGTCAAATATTACCAGGATTCTTGTTATAGTCAAATATTATCTGGATTCTTGTCATTGCTTAATATTACCTGGATTCCAGTCTTGGCCAAATATTACCTGGATTCTTGTCAGTGCTTAATATTACCTGGATTCTAATCATAGCCAAATATTACCTGGATTCTTGTCATGGCCAAACATAACCTGGATTCTAGTCACAGCCAAATATTACCTGGATTCTTGTTATAGCCAAATATTACCTGGATTCTTGTCAGTGCTTAATATTACCTGGATTCTTATCATAGCCAAATATAACCTGGATTCTAGTCATGGCCAAATATAACCTGGATTCTAGTCATGGCCAAATATGACTCAATGGGCTTTGTACTACCCTCATAAGACAGACTGTACCAAACGTAACTACATCTGGTTCTACTTTGACCCAAGACCCCCAAGAGGCTGGAAACAGTATCACAAACTTACCAAATAGATGGGCTGGGATTTCAACTTTGTCCATTGTATCTGCAACAGAGGAGACAACAGATGCACTGACACATAAAGTGACAAACACACTGATTCTATACACTGACACAGCTCCAGAAAATGTTTTGGAGCTACTGGTGAGGTGGGGTGAAATGGGGTTTAATGTCACGTCCAAGATTATTGAACTTATATAGCGACGTGCATGTATGTGTGTGTGTTTGTGTGGCTGCTTGTACTAGTCCGGACTGATGCCGATTTATAGTGCTAGCTCACTGAGATACCATGCCGCAGTTAAACATGAATACCCCACTCAGACAAAGTATACTCACTCCGAGCTGACCAGTCCTTGTTTTAGCCCCTTAATGCCGAGCGCCAGACAGGGTAATAACAAGTACCATCTTTGAACGTCTTTCGGTATGACGTGGCCGGGTATCAAACCCCGGACCTTCCGCTCTTCGGGCGGACGCTCTACCACTAGACCACGGAGGCGGTCTTTTGAGCTACTGAGTATTTACATGTTATCATTCACATGGGGTACTTGATAGTTTTCTTTGGGTATTCAATATAAACTCCTGGGCTAAAAAATCAAGTGTGCTGGGTTTTGAACAGTATTACAGTTATATCGCAGCTTGTCAGCTTGATGTAGGAGGAAAGCCCGAAGAGATGCAGGTCTTAGGCGTTTACCACTTTGGTGAAACCCACGAGCACGGGTATGGTGCTGAAAAACCTAGAAACATAATCGGGGCGAACCGGGATTCAAACCCACAATCATAGTTTCTGGCATGCCCAAGGGACGCAACTCTGTACGGCAAATTGTGGCGCCTTAAAGGACTGGGCCACCCATGCCCCCTCCGGGCAAAAGAAAGTATAACCCATGTTTGATGATGGCTAAAAATGAACAAGAAATGACTATTCGATGGTGATGTATTTGATACAGGTATTATAGTTCTCTGTTGGACCTAAGTCTGCACTGTTTCAACGACAGTTTTCAGCCAAGTAACGTTTTGACAACGTTCATAGATCTTATTTTCTTTTGCCAGCCTGTATACTTCACTCCCAGGAATCCAGTCTACTGGGTATTTCTAAGATAATGAGGATACATTTTTAAAAATAATTCTACTTAAAAACTGCTTCAGGTGGCATCTGATACTCTTCTGTCCGTTCCTATGCTGCCCTAAGTGTGTCACTGTGGCATAAGCTGACAACAGCAATACATGTCTGTTACAGTAAGCCAGATGTAGCACTCTTGTGCATTATTCATTGCAGTAGAGTTCATGTATATATAATGCCTGTATTCAATCAGTAAATAAGGATGTGTAGAGACATACAAGTAGGGTTTTACACGATGCAGAAATGTGCGTCCAGTACCACAAACGCATAGAATGGACATGGAACATAACATATTTTGCGTCCCAAGGGACAAACGATAATATCTATTGTACCTAATTCTTCACAAGAAATATAGGGTTCCTGTAATTCAAGTAATTATTTAATCTTACAGTACATTACACTACGCCATTTCTTTACTTTACATGACCCTCATGTATCCTGTTAGAACCCTTGAATTTAGTAATTGGGGGTCTTCTGGATGCCAAGGTGTTGTAGGTGAAAAGGTAAAACCTTGATACAGGTATGCAAGCTGAAAAGGCTACATTGGGTAATCGTGCACAACTATCATTGGAAGGGGGGAGGTTGATGAGTGTGTGTGTGTGTGTGTGTGTGGGGGGGGGGGGGGGGGGGAAGTTGGTGGTTCATTGGAAGGGGGGAGGTTGATGAGTGGGAGGGGGGGAGGTTGGTGGATGAGTGGGAGGGGGGGAGGTTGGTGGTTCACTGGAAGGGGGGAGGTTGATGAGTGGGAGGGGGGGAGGTTGGTGGTTCACTGGAAGGGGGGAGGTTGATGAGTGGGAGGGGGGGGAGGTTGGTGGTTCACTGGAAGGGGGGAGGTTGATGAGAGGGAGGGGGGGAGGTTGGTGGATGAGTGGGAGGGGGGGGGAGGTTGGTCGTTCACTGGAAGGGGGGAGGTTGATGAGTGGGAGGGGGGAGGTTGGTGGTTCACTGGAAGGGGGGAGGTTGATGGTTCATTGGAAGGGGAGTAGGGTGGTTCACTGGAAGGATAACAGAACTATAGGGTGGGTGACTATATGACTATTGCCAATTTCTAACGCTGGTTCGGGTGAGGTAACAGGCTGACCTTGATGGAGACCTTGTTGCATGACGCGCGTGAGATCTTGAGCCAGGTGGGGAGGTCGAGCAGCTCGGTGATAATGTTCTCATCCAGTTCCAGGTTACACAGCTCACCTTCTCCCTTCAGCGTGCTCAGACTGATCTTGTCTGTTGATAGGTTCTTACAGAATCTGAAAAAGTCCATGTGTGAGTGAGTGAGGGAGGGAGGTTTAAATCCACCTTTATCATTATTCCAGCAATATCATGGCGGAGGTCTCCAGAGTGAGTGAGTGGGTATGGTTTTATGCTGCTTTTAGCAATATTAAATCAATATCACAGCAGGGACACTGGAAAATGGGCTTCACACATTGTACTCATGTGGGAATTGAACCCGGGTCTTCCACATGACGAGCAAACGCTTTAACCACTAGGCAACCCCACCGCCACGATTGGCTGACAGGGTTAACCTCTTTGGTCATGTGGACAAGGCGTCCAACCTCTGATCGGAGGTTTGTGGTTCGAATCCCATCACGGGACTCGGAAATTTTATGGCCGCTACAATTGCACATAGTGTTTGTATTAATTCCAATCTATTAAAACATGTAAAGTATTCCGATACTGAACATGAGCTTTTATTGTACTCTGGACAGTTTATCGGCAATAATCATTCACAATGTGATGTTCATGAATGCTGTCTGGCAACTGCACCAAAACATTATATATCAAGCTCGGTGATTGGTCCATATCCCTTGTAGTATTTCAAGATGCATATATATTCCATGACATTGGCAAAGGAAGACGGTCATGATGGACGAGCTGTCGTTGGTCAAACGACTGGCCAGGATATTTTCATTCTTGTCTGGGTTAGAATTGGTCCCCAGCAACCTATGCTGGTCGTAAGAGGTGACCAATGGATTGGAGGATCAGGTTTGGTGACAGTCATATAGCGGGAATATTGCTGAGTGCAGTATTAAACAATACACAAACACAAGATAAACAAGCATGAAATACTCACGAAACTCGAAAAATAACTTTTTTAAAAATCCCAAACTATCAAAAGGCACCAGTTCACCACTAGATCTATCTATGTGCAAAGTTTGGTGAAGAAATATGGTACGGTTTTCAAGATCTGCTCCGGAAATGAGGACTACCACCATTTTCAGTCTAAATCAAAGTCGTTGCCATGGAAACTCGAAAAATAACTTTTTTAAAAATCCCAAACTATCAAAAGGCACCAGTTCACCACTAGATCTATCTATGTGCAAAGTTTGGTGAAGAAATATGGTACGGTTTTCAAGATCTGCTCCGGAAATGAGGACTACCACCATTTTCAGTCTAAATCAAAGTCGTTGCCATGGAAACTCGAAAATTTACTTTTTTTAAAATCCCAAACTATCAAAAGGCACCAGTTCACCACTAGATTAATCTATGAGCAAAGTTTGGTGAAGAAATATGGTATGGTTTTCAAGATCTGCTCCGGAAACGAGGACTACTGCCATTTTCAGTCTAAATCAAAGTTGTTGCCATGGAAACTCGAAAGATAACTTTTTTTAAAATCCCAAACTATCAAAAGGCACCAGTTCACCACTAGATTAATCTATGAGCAAAGTTTGGTGAAGAAATATGGTACGGTTTTCAAGATCTGCTCCGGAAACGAGGACTACCACCATTTTCAGTCTAAATCAAAGTTGTTGCCATGGAAACTCAAAAAATAACTTTTTTAAAAATCCCAAACTATCAAAAGGCACCAGTTCACCACTAGATCTATCTATGTGCCAAGTTTGGTGAAGAAATATGGTACGGTTTTCAAGATCTGCCCAGGAAACGAAATGTGACGGCCGGACGGCACCCATTCCTATTTCCCTCTTCCACTTCGTGGCGGGGGATAATAAATACTAGACTCCCTCTCGATATTGACTCAGACTACCGGACAACTGGCTGTGTCTATCCCTGTGTCACAAATGTCGTGAAAGACACAACACCATCCATTTGTTGTTCCAGTCTCCAGCAAAAATATACGGTAATAATTATCAAATGGACAATAATACAAGATGGTGCGACATACTAATGGCAGCCACTGTATCACGTACCACTACCTCCAGGTACCACAGCTTTAATGAAGGTGGCATACATCTCGCACAAATCAATGTCGAAGACAGTCCACAAACAGAAAATCATAAATAAGTCATAAAATAAATAACCGATTACATCTCTGTGCTGGGGGTGAGATGTTAGTTCAGGGAGCTGAACTTTTGTAATGGGATTCTTACAAGTTTCTCGTGGAATGAAAACATTTCTCTGATCAGGGATAGATGACAGGTTAGTGGACCCACAGTAATTCGGCCCTCTTGAGATGTCGTGTCTGGATGATAGTCTGGGAAGGTGGGAGAACTGGTTACAAGGAAAGACAGTATCTGCGTAAAATATGCATCAGACATGCAGAAATACGCAGTAAAATAAAATCCAAGCGTATCAAATACGCAACGAACATTACAGATACCCTACAAAAATAAAACTTGTGCGTATCATCAAAATATTGTGAAGTAACCCTGCGTATTCGTTTAGCAAATCAGCAACTTATTTTGAAATTATAAACGGGCATTCCGTCAACCTTGCCAAACTCCACGATGACAGTTACAGCATGATCATTTGCCATCACACTTTCTTGTGGAAGTATCGTGGTATTTTTGAGTCCTATAAAGCTCTCGAACCCACACAACACCAGGTTGCAGGGACTAGATGAATAGTATTTTTAAATATTTAACTTAAATACCCACATGTGTAAAAACTACAGGGTAACAGAAATTTGAATACCCAGATAGAATTACTGATACCCAGTGATTTTAAAATGCATGGGTAAAACACCCACAACACCAAAAGCTTATCTGGAGCTCTGAAAGAGGATCTTAATTTGTGTACACTGAGATGGAAAACAGACATAACACACAAACTCATAGAACAGGAACTGAAGAAGTCCTCAAAGTTTGGTAAAGATAAAATAAATAAAGTGATTCCGTGGTATTTGACTGGCTAACCAAACAAATATTTTTCTGCATTTATGTTTTCAGATCATTAGTGCATCAAGAGCCTCTGATCCCCCCACCCCTGTAACAAATGACTGGTCCCTATATGCTCTACAATGTCGGGACCCTTGAAGAACAGGGCAACCCAGGCTTGCAGTAAAAGCGACTATGCTTGTCGTAAGAGGCGACTAATGGGATCGGGTGGTCAGGCTCACTGTGACTTGGTTGATGCATGTCATTGTATCCCAATTGCGTAGATCAATGCTCATGATGTCAATCACTGGATTGTCTTGTCAAGATTTGATTAATTAAAGACCGTTGTCATATAGCTGTAATATAGCTGTAATATTGCTGCATGTGGTGTCTAACAACAAAACAAAGAAAAAAACCACAACTGCTTCACATACTTCACCAGTTTACCCTGATCTGTAGTTGTAACATGACATACTTCACCAGTTTACCCTGATCTGTATTTGTAACATGACATACTTCACCAGTTTACCCTGATCTGTATTTGTAACATGACACACTTCACCAGTTTACCCTGATCTGTAGTTGTAACATGACATACTTCACCAGGTTACCCTGATCTGTATTTGTAACCTGACATACTTCACCAGGTTACCCTGATCTGTAGTTGTAACATGACATACTTCACCAGTTTACCCTGATCTGAAGTTGTAACATGACATACTTCACCAGGTTACCCTGATCTGAAGTTGTAACATGACATACTTCACCAGTTTACCCTGATCTGTATTTGTAACATGACATACTTCACCAGTTTACCCTGATCTGTAGTTGTAACATGACATACTTCACCAGTTTACCCTGATCTGTAGTTGTAACATGACATATTTCACCAGGTTACCCTGATCTGTAGTTGTAACATGACATACTTCACCAGTTTACCCTGATCTGTATTTGTAACCTGACATACTTCACCAGTTTACCCTGATCTGTAGTTGTAACATGACATATTTCACCAGTTTACCCTGATCTGTAGTTGTAACATGACATACTTAACCAGTTTACCCTGATCTGTATTTGTAACATGACATACTTCACCAGGTTACCCTGATCTGTATTTGTAACATGACATACTTCACCAGTTTACCCTGATCTGTAGTTGTAACATGACAAATTTTACCAGTTTACCCTGATCTGTATTTGTAACATGACATATTTCACCAGTTTACCTTGATCTGTAGTTGTAACATGACATACTTCACCAGTTTACCCTGATCTGTAGTTGTAACATGACATACTTCACCAGTTTACCCTGATCTGTAGTTGTAACATGACATACTTCACCAGTTTACCCTGATCTGTAGTTGTAACATGACATACTTCACCAGTTTACCCTGATCTGTAGTTGTAACATGACATACTTCACCAGTTTACCCTGATCTGTAGTTGTAACATGACATACTTCACCAGTTTACCCTGATCTGTAGTTGTAACATGACATACTTCACCAGTTTACCCTGATCTGTATTTGTAACCTGACATACTTCACCAGTTTACCCTGATCTGTATTTGTAACATGACATATTTCACCAGTTTACCTTGATCTGTATTTGTAACATGACATATTTCACCAGTTTACCCTGATCTGTATTTGTAACATGACATACTTCACCAGTTTACCCTGATCTGTATTTGTACCATGACATACTTCACCAGTTTACCCTGATCTGTAGTTGTAACATGACTTTCTTCACCAGTTTACCCTGATCTGTAGTTGTACCATGACATATTTCACCAGTTTACCCTGATCTGTAGTTGTACCATGACATACTTCACCAGTTTACCCTGATCTGAAGTTGTACCATGACATACTTCACCAGGTTACCCTGATCTGTAGTTGTAACATGACAAATTTTACCAGTTTACCTTGATCTGTATTTGTAACATGACATATTTCACCAGTTTACCTTGATCTGTATTTGTAACATGACATACTTCACCAGGTTACCCTGATCTGTATTTGTAACATGACATATTTCACCAGTTTACCTTGATCTGTATTTGTAACATGACATACTTCACCAGTTTACCCTGATCTGTATTTGTAACATGACATACTTCACCAGTTTACCTTGATCTGTATTTGTACCATGACATACTTCACCAGTTTACCCTGATCTGAAGTTGTAACATGACTT